ATTAACTATCTGTTAATCGTTAATAAATGGTCTCTTTTCATCTATAAATTATGGTTATAATGGTTAGAGGAGCAGATTTTCACTTGGATTTAGATTTGGACTTTGATTGGTCTACTTTATTATAGGAATTTGCTTTTTTCTAAACCAACCCAACTGTAGCGCTGGCTGTGCTGCCTGTTGCAGGTTTTCTTCTGTGATACACCTCATGCAGCTTGTTCCTCTTTCCCAGTAAGAAGAAACTAGTGTGACGAACCCAATGCTGGGCAAAGCAAACTTTTCCCTCTTAGCTGTCTCCTCTATGAATTCTTATGGTTTTCTTCTTACCATTGCTCTGTAACACACCTGATTCCTGCAATGCACAACTCATTGTTCTGAGCTGTGGATATTTGCAACTCCTACAGAGATACTACTGCCTTCATGGCTGCCTTTATGAATAATGTCCTCCAAGGCAGTTTGGATAGACGTCTTTAAGATAGATATTTTTTTATATTGAGATGAATTTATCAGCGTTACATGAGATCTTCAAAATTTGGAAGGTTGTTTTATAACCTAACCGTGCTTTAAAGTTTCATAAAGACCAGTGTTTCTTGGTCTTTGTGAAGCAACTTTTAATTATTTATATTGGTCTTCACATTTGTTATGCTGGGATTAAATTAAATGTAGATGGACTTTGTTTTATTAATAAAGGAACATTAAGAGGTAATTGTTTGAGTTGGATGATATTTAGGGTTATTTGAGTAAGGGAAGACAAATACAACTATAGATAACATTTTTCAGATTTTGTGCCGTACATAAAAATGCAATAAATACAGACACGTTTATGTTTATAACATAACATAACATGCAGAGAAAAGTTGTAGTGGTATGAAACTTAAGAGGTGGCTGGAATAAGATTGTTTACAATCCCAGTAATGGCCAATTAATTATAAGTGTATTTGTAGTTCATAGTTCATTAAAACATGTATCAACAGAGAAAAAACTAGTCAAAAAGAAATGACAGAAGTTTAAATCCTTTTTCTCCACCTCAATCAGGGGACCAGGGCTATGTCTACTCCACCTTCCTGAAGCAATACAACCCTCTGAGGGACTCCCAGCGGGCAAACCAGAAGGCCAAAGAGCAGCAGCAGCCCCTTGTCATTGCAGATGAAGACTTTGACGACCTCAGCCTGTTTGTGTCACCCAGCAGCAGCAGCAGCCTGCGCAGCATCAGCCTGAACACCATGGACAGCAACTCCACCCTCTCAGGTCTGCAGGGAGAGCTGGAGAACACTGAGGAACTGGAGGAGTCAGTGGATGATGACACCCAACAGGTGTGTGTCGTATCCAGGACGCATCTATTGTTATTTTTAATTCATAGCATGAATGTAAATGTTAGGATACCATAATTTTTAAATAATAATATTTAAACATCAACTTAGAAAACCAAGTAAAAGTTATTGGTTAGTCTGTGCAGAAAACTAATAAACAGTGCCACCTTCTGATTTGAAACTAGAATACACTGCCTTATTCCTGTTCAGAGTGAATGAGGAAACTGTGTCCTAAAAGCAGAGATGTTGTTTGCATTAAATAATGTCTAAACTACGTTTCTCTCCACAGTATTATGCCGTGTATGCATTTCAAGCCCGATGTGAACAGGAGCTTTCCCTGCAGGAGTACCAGCACGTCCGCATACTCCAGTTTTGTGACGTGGGAGGAAACAAACAGTGGTGGTTGGCTGAGTCCAATGGACAGAAGGGTTATGTCCCTGCTAACTACCTTGGAAGGATGTCCTATGCATGAATCTAGAAGGCCTTGTTTCAAATACAGTTTTATAAGAAAAAATAACGGGGGGAAAAAAAACATATACCCCTTATTTCTTACTAAAAGCTGATTAATATAGTTAGGATTTCATTTCAAACTTCTGCAGTAACATTGATCTGGAAAATTATGAATATTCATCTATTTTGAGTTTAATATCGAGGCCTTTTGTAAAATATGGTCTTCAAGAAGAAATTTGTTGCTCTAATGCATCAGATTTTAATGAATACATAATTTTTTATGTATTTAAGAAGAGGCCTAATTAGTGAGCCATCGTTTGGCAGTAATGGTTTCTTTATTTCAGCAAGTTGGCTCAGGCACCCCTATAATTTTAGATGTTCGTCATAATCTGTAGCCAGAACATGATACTTTCATTATTTTCAAAAATAATTTCCTACTCTAAATTGCTTATGCACAAAGGTCTCGTATGCGCCAGTCTATATTATCAAAGACACCTGTCTGTTTTTGTTGTTTTTTTTTTTAATGTTGGATATGATTCTTTTAAACACGATGGCCTGTATAATTATTGGCAGTGCAGGTAAAGATGCGTTTAAAAGAGCTAAAATAAAAGGCTGATGGATGGACCACAGATGGATGGGTGTCAATAGTTGCTCTACTAAGTAGGGGTGCACCGATTGTTCAGCCGGATGATTGATTGGTGTCGATGTCCTTAATTTTCCAAGATCTGCTATCAGACGATACTTAGATATGAAGCCAATCTTATCCACCGCTGTAGAAGTCTCAAAATTACCAAATGTTTTTGCTGTAGACCTTGATCTATATTTGAAAGCAGACGTTTTTATTTTTTTCACGGTACTGATGAATGTTTTTCAATAAGATAAGATTAAAATATTGAAGGTACATTAATGTCTGATTACAAAAGTGAAAATCGGAATGAGTATGTCGGGCTTTGTAAAGATCAGGAATGAGTGATCGGCCAGAAACCTGCCATCTGTGCACACCTAATACTGAGCCAAGTTTTGCAGATTGTTTTTGTTCATCAGCCTCCTCACTGTGAATTGATGAAATGAGGTACTCATCTCTTCTTTTTCCTCACTCTTCCAGTTATTTTATCATTGATCTGACTGTAGATATGGGCAGGTTAAGGCAGCTAGCTATATTAATATACATTTAAAGATCATGATACATTTGTCTAATTTTCATAGGGTGTTCACTTTCATTCTGAAGAGAGGATAAGATAAACGTCTCCAGTGTCAGATCATTATTATAGCAGAGGAAACAGCCACTTGAAGGTTAAGAATTAAAATATAAAACCTCCTGGTCTAGTTAATAATCTCCAGGAATTTCTAGAGACGCCATTGAGAGCAGGGCTATTTTTCAAAAAGGATTTGTTCCCTACAGAATGAACTCAAACTGAAAGGTTTTAATTTTCAGATTCATATCAAACTGCTGCAAAAACAATACACTTGTTTGGATTGTTTATTTTTTAAGTACTGGTATACATTTTCTACTGGTGTAGAAAGCACTACAGGTTTACGTTTTCAGTTTAACGGGAGTGCTTTTATTTAAATAAAACATGATTCCCCACGATGTGTTGCTATCTAAAATCCTTCAGTCATATTGTTTATGTTAGGTACAATACATCCACACTATTACAGCAGCATAAATGAAAATCACAAATTCCTCTCAAATACAGTGTATACTTTATCATAGTGGTTTTTTAATGTTTTGTAAGAAGAAAAAGCTCTATAAACATAAATATGTTGACGTTCTGCTTTGTGAATGCTTAAACTGCACCTTTGTAATGTAGACATGTTTTTGCCGCCTTGTTTAACTGCTCTTTGATATGAATGTAGCGCATGAACTCACCGTTGGTATTTATCCTGTCATTTGGGTTGGGATATGAGGTGAGATGTGTAATCAGATGGAACTGCAGTGCACTTTGCTGAGCACTTTTTGTACCTCAGTGTTGTTTATATTGATGAAGTGACATAATCATGAAGTAAATTTAATATGTCAACTGATTTAGAAGTGATTTATATAAATGAAGTAGACTATGAAGAATATTTTTATGATCTATCCAAGATGTTTTATGACTTGTATCGTTATTTTTTCTGAATATATGGATTCATATTTAATAAATAAAAAGAAATTTCAGACTTCCAGACTCCAATTTTTCCAATCTTTATTCTAAAATAGGAATATTTTCAATTATTTTAGCGCATGTACACTGCAAAAACTATCTACAAATAAGTAAAAAAAAAAAAATCTTAGATTAAGTGTATTTACCCTTACTTTGAGTAAGTAAATAAAATGATTTGCAAATGGAATGAGTATTTTTTACTCTTAAAATAAGATAATTAGATACTATCCTCTTGAAATAAGAGAATGCAATCTTTTTTTCTTATTTTAAATGTAAATTGTCCTGTTCCATTGGCAAAGTGTCTCACTTACCCTCTTAATTCAAGAAGAAATGCACTTATTTTAAGAAAAAATAGCTTATTTTGATATTTTTTTTGCAGTGTACTAACAGGGGACAGTCTTTGAATATGGAAGATATAAAAAATGCAAAGAGAAAGAACAAGATGAAGGACAGAAGGAAGGAAATGAAGCTATAAGCTTAAGAAGGAAATGTAACAAAAACTTTAGATAGAACCACATAAAGATAAGCGGTAGGATGCAATGAAGGAATTAGATTAAAGGAAGGAAGGAAAGGTCTAAGATGCAAGGAAAAAAAGAAATGATAAAGCACAGGAGGAAGGAAGCAACTAAATAATGAAGAAAGGAATGTGAGAGTGAAATGAAATAATTAAGGAAAAAAACAATAAAGGCAGCCAAATGGAGGAAAGAAAGGCTAGAGGGAAGAAGGAAGTACAAAAGGAAAGAGGGAAAGGGATTAAATAATGCATTTAAAAACATGAACAGCCACAACTTAAGAGTACAAATAAAGGAAGAAAAAAGGTTGAAGGTCACAAGGTTGAAGAAAGAAAATGCAACAGATGAAAGACAAGAAGAAAATGGAAAGGGAGGGTGATAAATGAGGAAAGTAAAAAAAGTAAAAGAGAAAAGAAAGGATTTAAAATAAACAAAAGGACAACATGAAGGTAGACCATAATAGAGTAAGAGAGGAGAGACATAATAAAGGAGGAGAGAACATAATGAGGAAGGATTTAAAGATCTTAAGAGCCTAGAAACAGGAAGAAGGAAGTAAAAACCCTAAACAAAGAGACGGATGGAGTCAGTTTGAGAGAAGAGTTGATTTATTTACCGGGTTGTTAAAAAGTGACACTTTACTCATTGGTTAGCTTTGCTAGGAGAGAGGAGGCACGTGTCATATCCAGCTGCTTTAAGGTAAAGTTCAAGTATGTAGCTGGATGGTGGTTTCTCCTTATGCAGAAGCTTTTGAAGTGCAAACACAAAGCTGCAGCATCACCTTTACTCTCTGTTACCTCATATATCCCTCTGTATGCGTTTCTCTAAACCTTGACTCATTTCTTCAGTTTCTTCTGAGCTGCTTTCTTCTTAAAGATCTGCAAGCGTTTCATGGCGTTAAGCTGGGACTCCTGAGAGGTCGGCGCGCCCTTTGAGCCGTTCCCATTGTTCCCGTTCCCTCCTCCGTTATTCCCCCCATTCCCCCCAGTCGGCGCCTGGGAGCTGCTCGGTGAGCTGGCTCCGGATGAAGCGGAGCCTTTCCCTTGGCTCTCATTGCTGGATGAGCGGTTCAGTGCCTGCTTTCCCAGAGTTAGAGGCGGAGGAGTTTTCAGAGCTGCTTGGCTGGAGCCGTTTCCATTGCTGCTCCCAGTGACCTTCGCTCCCCCAAGTCCTGATTTGGCTCCTGCTAGTCCTGACAAACCCACCGGTTTCTGACCAGAAGGAGCCGTCACAGTCTTGCTGCTACCGCTTGTACCTGAAGAGGCCAGTTTGGAGGTAGCAGGAACAGACGGGCTTGTTTTGGCACCAAAGGCGGCCCAGCCTGTGAGACCGCTGCCTGGGGAGGAGGAGCTGCTGCTGGTAGGGTTGGCTAATGTGGCCGGAGTCTGCAGGAAAAAATAGGGAGCAACAGGAAAAACGATTAGGGATAAACATGGGAAATTATTATACATCTGTATAACAAGACATTATTTATAGACATTATTTATTTTTTTGATTAATTGATTAAGAATTGGATAGCCAAATATTCTTTAAAGAAGATTTTTTAATCAAATTAAACCAGCTAAACCAACTAAAACTTATCAAATTGAGAAGTTCTGGATAGAGTGTATTGGTAGACAAAAATATTTCTTTTTATCTTAAATGCAGAATGTTTATATATTTTTTTACCATTCGGATATATTTATAGCTGTAAATGGGTTGCTCTGTTAGCTAAAGGCATGTTTTACTGTCTCTATACTCCAGTTAACGATTCATCGATTACTAAATAGTTGACGATTAATTCCATAATCGCTTAATCACGAGTAATCTGCTTATTAAGCCCCAATCAGAGTACTAACAAAAAGGAAAAAATCCTATCAAAACTACCATCACCACTTCTTGTTATTTTTTGATTAATACCTTTAACATTCTTTTTCTTATATTAATTTCTTAATGACTAAAATTTTATAAGTTGTAAATATATTTATATTTATGATTAATTAGTAAAATAAAATTAACAGAAGGAATAATACCATAATATAATATTTAATCTGAAATACAAACCCATTATAACCACAATAGTAAAAATATAATTTTAACAATCATAAGAAACATTTTTTTTTTACAAAAATAGCTTCATATTTGCGGTTTTTGAACATGTATTCTATAAATTTTTGTACCGTTCATTTAATCATAGAATCTCGACTAAACAAAACATGCATTGTGTGCTCAAATGTACCATTATACATCACAGAAGGATTACAAAGAAATTAAGAAACCTGTGAGGTTAATTTTCAATTTATTCAAGTTTATTCAGGTAGAAAGGGAATCCTATCACAGTGATGATAAGCTAAGGAGGTAATTCAGCTATTTGACTCAGATAAATCTACATGCACCCCATGCCCATTGTTAAACACAGTGAGGGATGTATGATGGTGAGGGGTTTTTCTCTGCTAATGGCCTGTGGAACATCGAGTTTATAAATAAAAATCTTTCAACTGAATAATTATCCAAGTCATTGGGTGAAACAGGCTGAATGAGGTTCCTCAAAGCACAGCAGAGAGAAAAATGTTGTGTCGATATGTGCCGTTGTACTGATCTGATACCTGATTGAGATATTGGCTCCAATGTTTACTAATAAGCTGGATTGAATATCAGTGATTTAATATCAGATATCTGAGATCCAATCCAATGTATTTTACAAGGAACTATTATTTTCTTTCCATTAAAAGAACGTATCCGTTCTTTTAACAATGTTTCATTCAATTAACAGTCGAATGGGATCAAAATAGGACATCGGCTGAATCGCTAAAGCTCAGGTATCGGAACGGGATTGGATCCAAAAAAACTGGATTGGTGCATCTCTTAAAAAGGACTGCTTCTGGATGAACCACATACCTTCACTTCTGTTCTCTTGAAAGCCTGGAAGGTGCTGGCCGTATCCGTTTTTAGTTTGGGGTCCGCCTTCTTCACCACAGTGTCCTTAACAACAGGCGCGGATGACGCAGAGACGGGGGACGGTTTTTGTGGAGGTTTCTGGGCCTTAACAACAACATAGATATGAATTAGTCACAGATGCATCACCAGACGCTCTGAATACCAGAAAGGATCCCAACATGGAAGGCTGTTTTTTTTTTTTCCTCACCATGCGTTTCATTTGCCTGGTACAGCGGGCGCAGTACCACACGAGGCGGGGGTCGTTAACCTCTTTATCCGTCACTTGTGGTCTATGACACTCTTGGTGGTAGAGATTATGACACTCCTGGCACTCCACCAATTGGTTTCCCATGGTCACTGTCATTTGTCTGTTTTAAAAGTAAAAACACAAGATGAACACGATTATTGTCTGGACAGCAATAATGTCCTTTAAATATCCTGATATAAGTTAGAGAATATTTCTAAGAAGAATGCTTACCTGCAAACCACACAAGCAAGGCCCATCTCCATGGCAAAGTCATCAGCATTAGTCTCATCATAGTCACTTATGTTTGGGAGCAGGTCTTTGCTGGTCTGGACAGTGATGGGAGAGGACCGGCTCTCCTGTTTCTCCAAACGAGGCTTTTTTGGGGGGTCCACTTCAGAGAGGTCCACCCTGACCTGCTTTCCAATTCAAGAAAAAAGAAAATAACAAGACAGGTATTTATGATTAAGACAAATTCGGACTTCTACACTTGTCATGCAAAATGGGAACATACGTGCCTGTTGCACTTTATTCAATTACTCAATTAATACATTTTCTAAAGCTAAAATATTTACTATTTCCTCAACACGTCACAATTAAACATATTATAGCATACTACTTAAATACTCTGGCTGAGCATTTAGGGAACACAATCTTTATGTTTAATCATTTAATCTAATCCTCCAAAATCAGATTGATTTTTTTCTTCCTTATGTTTCAAAATAAAAGTGTCAAATAACATAAATCACTTTCAGAACACAGCTGTTAATTCAATCTTCCCCTTTGGGAGGTGAGCTTAATTTAAAGGGCAACAAAATTCAAGCTATGAAAATGCTAATAAATCACTGTTTTACAACAAACAATGAAAATAAAACAAACTAAATGTTTACATCTAGTATTAGACAGTGAGCTGGTTTATCAGTTGTAAAAAAGTGATGAGCTGATGTCACTCTGAGCAATGGATGCCCCACAAGGGAATTGTTGAAAAAAAAAAAAAAAAAAAAAAAAAAAGAAATCTTCATAAAGTATAGTTGTTTTTTTAATTAAACTTTTTTTTTTTAATGTTTTTTAAATTGATTTTCCTGATTAATTGCCCAACCCTACAACGCTACTTTTGTTTTCTCATTTATAAAAAACGTGGCTCCACCAAAGTTAGGTCATTATCACCCCATAACCAAACTTTCTACTTAAGCTAAGATTCACATTAACTTTATTAATCCATTCGGTTGGTACCTCTAGGAATGCATGTTTCTAGAAACAACAACACAGCACCAACAGACACAATCACTCGTATAGCATAATAAATAAACGAAGAGCAAGAAAACAAGGAAATAAAGGAACAATGAAGAAACTAATGAAAACCTTAAACTAAAATTTCCTGCAAATGGAACTAAAGCAGCACCTGGATGAAAATCCCACCTTAAGCTGGACTTCAAGCAGGCTCAGAAGCTACTTTTTTAATTGAACACAGCTTTTCCAGATCAGTTGTTTAGAGATTTGACTAAATTAATGCCCTGTTTTATTTTCCACTTTAAATAACATCATTAGTAAGAATAATATTCATAGCTTTTATGTTTATTATCAGAAATTATTTCATGACTTTTAAACATGATCAAGAATGAATATCTCTATACAGGATCAGCATATTTCTTTACGGTTATCTAAGATTTGCTGTAAAGCCAAACTTTCCTGTTCTAACAATGGAAAATGTCTCCTGTACCTTCTCTGATGGCCTCTTCTCCACCTCTTTCTTACTCTTCTCAGAGCTGGATTTGCTGCTTCCGCCGCTGATAGCCACAGAGGAACCCGACGACTTGGAGTCTTGTTTACTTTTTGACACGGAAACCTTTGACACTTCCACCTCCTGAGGATTAAACAAGGAAAGCACAGGCGATTAGCTGTCAACATGGTGCATGCTGAGCAAACGCAGAGAGGACATCACAGTGTAAACTGGGACTTCACTGATGTATTTCTTACTTTCTGCAGGGAGCGGTAGGAGGAGTCACTTCCTCTTGCGAGGGACTCGTCAAGCAGAGCTTTGAGTTTCTCAGCCGAGTCTTTACTCTTTGAGTGTAGGTAACTGAGTCCCTTCAGAAAGATGGGATCCAGCTCCAAGCTCACAGGTCCAGCCATGGCTGTGAAAATGGGAATAATGAAAAGTGCTCAGCATCCAGTTTTACAACTTAAACAGGACTGTGCCGCTGGGTTTTTTTTTTTTTTTTTTTTTTTTTAATAACACTGATTTCCTGTTATTTTTCCTGATTTATTGTTCCTTCCCTCTATACAAAACTTCCACACAATTCCACAAAAAAAGAGAAAATACAAATGCAATGATCGGCAGCAGATTCATTATTTTTTAATATGAACAACAGATGTTTTAATCTGGCCCCTATGAGAGAAAGAGAAAAAGAAAGGCATTGCCACAAGCATGATGCAACTAAAAGTCTGAATTGTGGGGTGGGTCTATGGTGTGGAGCTAGAACTTCAAATGAACCTGGGCGTGTCTTTTCAACAATGACACATAGCATACTTCTTTTTTTTAAACACTTTTTACATAGACTAAAATATATATAGCCTATATAATTTTTTATTAGGAAGCAATGCACATTACAGTAGAGATGTGTGTCCATGTGCACATCCTTTTCACACTGGGTAAGAGTTCTTAACAATATATATATAAAATATTGTGCAACTGGAATAGTTGAGAACAAGGATCTAATTAAACTATGATTACTATAAATTAGTATAAATAAAGCCACCCAAGAAATCAATAAAAAATTATATATAATAGAAGAAACAAAATAAAAAACAGGGGGAGGGAGGGGTCATAGACCTGATCATCAATGCTGAAAGTCGCATTTTAATTAGAAAAACTGTCAATTCAAAAAAAAATAATGAGAGGAAATATATATTTTAGCAAGACTTGGATGTACACATTAAAACCACGTGATATTAGATTATTAAACTAGCATTACTAACCCCTCCTTTTTCGTTGCCAAAGATCTCTCAAAACTCAGCCAGTTGTCTTTGTTTCTACAGCTTATATTTGTTGTGTGACGCTGAAAAGAGCGCAGGAACCCTGAGAGCTAAAGTTACCTTCATTATTAAAACGACGCTCAAACAAACCTTTCTGATTTCAGCATAATTGTCTTTAAACAGCCTTACCTGACCCTAATGTGCTTCTCTTTAATGTGATCGGAACGCTTTCAGTTTGAGAACAACGGAAGATGAGCGGCGTTTCCTCCACCGCAGCAAGCAACTATCGTTTTGGTGCAACTGTCTAATATGTCCGGAGTACACATGGTCGGAACCATATGTGACAGTTTATGGTAAAAGTTGTTCTCCCTTAGTAAAACAATTTGCAAATAAATATACAAGATATTTTGGACAAACTTTCTACTTCTACGTCACTATTCTTATTTTATTAATTACCTTAAGAAAAAGAAATTGATAGAAAGAATATAAGATTAATTTATATATAGCAGCCCGACCCACACTCCCTTCCAGTAGGTGGCGGTAATGCACATCAATAAGGAGAATTTAAAACCACATTAACAGCAGCAATGCAAGTAGAAATGGGAGAAATGCCATAAAAAAATTGGATTTAAGAAGAACAAAACTAGAAATAAATTATTGGTTAATTCTACAAGGTAATAACTCTGATCATCCAACTTGGGAAATTTTAAACCCATGTTGGGAAAAAGAAAAGAAAGAAATTAGAAGTTTTGGATGGAAAATTGAAAAAAATAAAATAAAATTATTTAAAATGACTAATTTAGAAATTACTCAAACTACACCAATATGAGTTATACCACCATGGATTCTACCAGAAGCAATAGTAGAAGTGTCACTAATGGAAAAGAAACAAGATACATTGTACACGGTAGATACACTGCAAAAACGATCTAGAAAAAAGTAAAAATGTCTTAAATTAAGTGTATTAACCCTTAATTTGGATAGGTAAATGAGATAGTTTGCCAATGGAATGAGTAATTTTACTCTTAAAATAAGATAATTAGATAAAATGCACTTGAAATAAGTCAATGCAATTGTGTTTTTTTTTTTTATTTTAAGTGTAAATTGTCTTGTTCCATTGGCAAAATGTCTCTTTTACCTCCTCAATTCAAGAACAAATGCACTTATTTTAAGAAAATGTGACTTATCTAGATTTAGATTTTTTGCAGTGTATCAGTTTAGTACAGTTACATTTAGACAATTATTATCAATATATTTAAATTTATACAGATGCATCAAAAGTAACAAGGAAAATAGGAATAGCTTTTGTAATACCAGAATTCAATATAAAAATAGGAAAAAAACAATTTCAGATGGATTATCAGTATAAACAAGGGAAATGTTGGCAATATTATTAGCTTTACAATGGGTAGAAGACATAAAACCATTAAAAAAAGTAATTTGTTCAGATTCAACCTCTGCGTTATTAAGTTTAAAATATAATCAGCCAGATAGCAGGATGGACATTCTATTAGAAATATTTAATAATTTATTCAGAATAAAAAATATGGGTTTGATTGTTGTATTTGTGTGGGTTCCAGCACATATTGGAGTAGAAGGAAACGAGAGGGCAGATAAAATGACAAAGAGGGCAATTCAAAATCCTATTAGTTTTACAGTTAAGACAAGTAAATCGGAGGGAAAGAGTATTATTATAGAAAAACTGATGGAAAAATGGCAAAAAAAAAAAAAAAAAAAAGGTGGGATGAAGAAAAAACAGGAAGATGGTTTTATAAAATTCAGAAGATGGTAGGAAAAAGAAGAAATGGAAGACGAAATAGAGAGGATGAGAGAGTGATAATAAGGTTACGATTTGGGTAAACAGGGCTAAATTATACACTTTTCAAAATTCAAAAGTATACTACTGGCAAATGTGATATGAAAAAAATAGAACATGTTATACTGGAATGTCATAAATACGAAAGCCAGAGAAGATATATGAGGAGTTTGAATTTATTCAGGAAAAGATTAATTTATTAGACATTTTGAGGAAGAATTTGGGGAGTAAAAATATACAGATAATTATTAGATTTTTAAAGAAAATGAAATTATTTCATAGAAATTGATTGTAAAAAGGGTGAATGTGTGTTTGATATAGACGGGTAGAATACAAAGTTATGTATAAGTATATAGTTTTTTGTTGTTTTTTGTTTTCTTTTTTTCCTTAGAAATTATATATATGTTTATTAAGTAGATAGTCCATCACGAACTACACTCCATACCAGTAAGTGGCGGAAATGCTACTAAATGTTTGTTGCCAACCGCCAGAAGTTCTCACTTATTGGTTATAGTAAAATGATTATGTTAAAACTTCAGGAGTATTTTTATTTTTAGAACTTTTACTTATGATAATTTTAATGATTATAGATTTAGTTTATGAGAAAACTAAATTTAGTTGCTCAAGCAATTCTGGAAAAACTCGATCGATTTTAAACCTTTCAAAAAGGTCAAAATAAATACATTTTATTTCAAAGAAACTCTTGAATATGAAAACTCATGAAACAGAGCGTGAAAAGAATTCAAGGCTTTATTTCATTTAATGTTGGTGATTGTGGTTAGTGTAAGAGAGCTGGAGTTTGCATCTGAGCAAAAAATGTTTAACACTGATTCCTGTCACATTTTAATGCAAACTGCAGCCAGCAGATGGCTCTCTAGAGTAATTTCAGGTGTGCCCAGAGGAGGAAGAAGAAGAAGCAACTGTAAACAGCCATGTGTTTCTAGTGTTTGTAAGTAATACGGATGCCATGTGAATACAGTCTGCTATTTTGGTTCACAAATTACATTTTATTAATTCCAATTATCTTTCATGTTACTCCTCAGTGTTTCCTCTTTTTAAAATGAAACACTCTGTAGCAGAGCAGCAGCGTTCGTGTCTCTATTTGGAGGTTTGCTCCCATGAGGAGCCTCATCTGCCCATGCACACCTCCATTGCCCTCTTCCTGCTGTCTTACTGCGAGACCAAGTCTTTTAAAGTTTTCCTTGTGCGCAGCGACAGCCGCAACAAAGGCTGCTCCGAGTCTCTCAAGGCTCAGCTCCCAGGGTCTCTCAGTGGGTCAGAACTCCTCACCCCGGAGCATCTGCCTCGGCTGGTGAGGAGCTGCCGCCTCCCGGCTTCCGTAGATGAGAGTGGACGGCTCTGCAGAGCTGGGCTGGCAGTGGTCCTCAGGAACATCATCACTAGAACCATCGAGGATGACCCCTGCAGGAATGACGTGCAGGCTCTGCTGGGGTTCAAGAAAACCTGCCTGAAGGCATGTGCAGAGGTGAGCAGTAAAACAAAATCACAGATTGATCAGGATAAAGTAGATAAGTCACTGACATCTAAAGACATCTCAGTGCGCGTTTTGTTCAAAAGGCAACAAAAATACATTTTGCATGTGTCATACTTTGTCCATCTATTGTGTCATGTAGCATTTGTGGTTGAAGAGTTTCATCAGCTCTTATATCTGTTGACCAACACACCTCATTTAAAAGAAGCTGAATCTGCTGAGCCATTTGATTCCCACAGGATGAAGAGCATCTGAAACATGCAGGGACAGCCTCTCTGGAAGACTGGGATCGACATATAGATGCTTTTGCTTTAATTATATGTTTATTTTCATATATAGTGGGGCCAAAAAGTATTTAGTCAGCCACTGATTGTGCAAGTTCTCCTACTTAGACTAATGAGAGGGGTCTGTAATTTTCATCATAGGTACACTTCAACTAAGAGAGACGAAATGAGGAAAAAAAAAATCCAAGAAATCAAATTGTAGGATAAAAAAAAAAAAAAAAAGATATTTGTAAATCATGTAAGGTTGTGAAATAATTTTAAAACTTCTTTTATAGAATCATAATATTTAAAATGTGGCTTGTAATTCCAGGAAATATGAAGCATCAGGAGGATTTTATTGTTTTTAACTGGTCGTATTCCTTTAAAGTTTAAGGTGATAAGGTGAGTAAAATAAGTATTTGAACACCCTGCCAATTTGCAAGTTCTCCCACTTAAAAATAATGGAGGGGTCTGAATTTGTGGTGAACAGAATGACCATAGCCTTCTTCCCTTAGTTAGAGCATTGAAGATGGGTACAGGCTCAGTCTTCCAACATAAGGATGACCTAAAGCGCACAGCCAAGATAACCGAGGAGGGGTTCTGGAAGAAGCATATCAAGGTTCTGGCGTGACCCAGCCAGTCTCCAGACCTAATCCCAATAGAGAATCTTTGGAGGGAGCTCGAACTCCTTGTTTCTCAGCTACCGCCCAGAAACCTGACTGATCTAGAGAAGATCTGTGTGGAGGAGTGGGCCAAAATCCCTCCTGCAGTGTGTGCAAACCTGGTGAAAAACTACAGGAAACATTTAACCTCTGTAATTGCAAACAAAGGCTACTGTAAGCAAATAGTAACATTGATTTTGTCAGGTGATCAAATACTAGTTCAAAATCATACTCATACATTGTAATATCTGGATTTTATTTTAATGTCTCTCACAGTGAAGATATTCCTACGGTGAAAATTTCAGACCCCTCCATGATTTCTAATTGGGATAACTTGCAAAATATGTTCAAATACTTATTTTCCTCACTGTAGTTTTACTGTACATATTGTATTTCGTTTCTTATTTCATGGCTTTAGACTGAGACAGATTTATTTTGTCATTTTGTATAGACAAGTGTTAACAAAAAGAAATTTCATTTAGAACAGCTCTCTAGACAATTTCATTTTTATAAAGTGCAGCCTTGAAAAACAACAAACAGTAATATAAAGAAATGACTATATTTACAGTTCTAATGTTTCATTTTATCTATTTATTTTTGTCTATTATAAATCAGTCAGGCACTTTAGTCTCTTGGTGTGTCAGTTACTCTATGAATAATATTTTATTGACCGTTGACGTGATCTTCCTCTCAGGTGAGCAAATGGACCAGGCTGTGTGAACTGGGAATCCCGTCTGCAGTCGAGGAGCACCTCCTGAATCCCACTAAGCAGGCCCAGCAGCTGCCTCCTGCTATCCTCACCCTGGAGCAACAACTTGCTGAGCCCGTCAAAGTTCACAATGACGACAAAATCCGCAGACAGAAACTTCAAGAGCAAAAGCGGATGGAAGAGAACAGCCAAGAGAAAC